GGCTCCTAAGCCTGGTGGAGATCGGCCTAGGGAGCCAGGTGGCCACTGCGCGGGGCAATCGAGCGCGGCCACAGGCCAATCACACGCTTCGTCGCCCATAATGGATCCCGCTCCCGACCCCAGTGGGTACGACAGCACGCGGCCCCCGCCTATTTCAACACACCACTCACTCTTCTCCGAACCTCAAAGGGAACCAGAAGGGCAGCCAGAGGGTCGGCGCGCTCATTTCGACACATACACACACAACCTTCCACGCTTGCTTCGTCGTCGACTACGGCGTGCGATCCCCGCCCATATCGACACACCGCTCACAAGCTTCGTGCTCCAAGGGGGGGGGGGGTCAAATGCGGCCCTGGCGTGGACGGCCTCATGACGCCTCCCGACCAGGGGGGCCACCCTTCCGCGCCTCCCCGCGACCCATCCCCCCCGTGGCGCGCAGAACGGAAAGGTAGGCTTGCCCCCTACGCCACATACAGCAGCTGAGGGTTGGACCCCTCGCTGCTCGAGTTGGCTGCCCCGCGAAGGGCCGTCTTGAGACCACCTTCACGCTCCATCTGAAGCTGGGGCTTCCAAGAGGGTGGGGGGAGGAGGCGCTTGCAAACGCCGTCGGGGCCCCTGCGAAGCCCTCTTGGAACCAACTCCACAGGGAAAGGCTCGAAAACCCTCAAATGGTGGGGTGAGCTTGTGGACTTCCTAACAAGGTGTTGACCAATTTGGGCCGTCAGGGGGTCCTGTTCAGGCCTTCTGGTGGAACACCGTGGACGTCGTGGGGTCGTCCTGGACCCTCTTAGGCCCTCTTCGGCTCTCTTGGAATTGTCCGGGTGCACCTTGGGATGTGGCTGCGGGGACTTGGATCCCTCGTGGGCTGGGCCTTGTGGGAATGATCTCAGGCGCCCAGGCAGGGCAGGGAAGGGTGGCAAAAGTAGCGGCCCCGCCTGCAGCTAGGCAGCGGGATCCCGACAAAACGGCAAAAAACGAAAACCAGCAACGAAAAGAAACCACCAGGCCCATGTATAGATGTAATGTACCACCTCCCCCCCAAAAAAAGCAAACGAGCACACAAACAAACAAGCAGGCAAACAAGCACACAGACAAACAAACAAACAAACAAACAAACAAACAAACAAACAACTTCCCGCCACGACACACTTCCTGCATCCCGCCCGCAAATGATCGGCTCCTGGGCCTCTGACGGGGCGCGCTCCGACAGAAAAACGAAAGTGTCAAAAAAGCAGCAGAAACATATAGTTTAAGTCGGGCATGTCCTCCTATATGCGGATTTTGGACGAAGAAATACTCAACAGCAGAAACTCGAGAACCTCGACCCCAGGCCCTCGACCCCAGAGGCGGACCCTCGATCCTCGAGAGGGACCTCGATCCTCGAGAGAACCCACCACCCCATAGGTCGGGCATGTCCTCCTACAGGCGGATTTTGATCGAAAAAGTATAAATATTCAAACATGATACCGGAGAAAAAAAACAATCATAATCGTTTTAGGGCTATGGGGCTACAGGGCTACGTGGCTACAGGGCTATAGAGCTATAGGGCTATGGGGTTATAGGGCTATAGGGCTATGGGGCTATAGGGCTATAGGGCTATGGGGCTATAGGGCTGTAGGGCTATAGGGCTATTAGGGCTATAGCGCTACAGGGCCATAGGGCTGTAGGGTTACCAGGCACCTGGGCACCAGGGCATCAGGGCGTGCCGCCGAAATCGGCGCCTTACCTCACCTAACCATATGAATCCGCCAGGACCCCTACAGAGGCGAGCTCTGATTGGGGAAATACCCAAAAATTGCATCAACAACAACAAAAAACAAACAAAAAACAAAAAAAGTCGTCCCCTCACTATGTTTTGACTATTTTTGTTTTGAACATTCCTCCTGTAGAGGGACACGCCCGACTTAACTCCCCATTCGAAAGCAGGCGGTCCGAAGATGGGGCCCTGAAGGATGGGGCCATGAGCACGAGCGGCCTCAACTCAAACATCAGGTCGGGCATGTCCCCCCACAGGTGGATTTTGGGTGGAAAATAAGGAATACCCCAAAAATACACCAAAACAGCCAAAAAACAAATACTTAAAAAACATCGTCCCCAGAATATGCCCTTACCTATTCTTGAACACTCCTCCTGCAGAGGAGCATGCCCCTCTGAACTCAGACAGTGAAGGCTCCGCTCGGGACCCCCCCCCTGCGCCTGGTGGCCGCACCCCTCGGGGCCCCAGCCTCGAACCGCCGAGAGCGGGCCCCCCTCGATCCTCGATCCTCGACCCTCGCCAGCGAGCTCTTCCAGCCGCAGCCCCGGCAGCCCCCTCCGGCCGGGGACTGGCGGACGGGCCCCCGGCCGCCCCCTCTGGCCGCAGCCCCGGCGGCCCCCCCCCCGCCGCGGCCCGGGCGGCCGCAGACCCTCGACGTCATGAGATCTTCGCAGCGTCGGCCCGCGGAGTTCTCGACCTCTTCCCCGGGACCGGAGTTCCCTCCTCGAGCCACGTTCTGACGGTCCCCGGACCCGGCCAGGGCCGCCAGAGGCCGAAAATGGCAACAACAACCTCAACAAAAAATCACACAACACACACACACACACACACGCCACGTGATTTCATGACCCGATGGGGGTCTGCAGCCCCCTTCCAACGCCTCGGCATGGGAGAAGCGAGTCCTGAGGGAAACGTGTCCTGGACCCTGGTGCCTCCCCCCAGGACGAGCGCTCCCTCCTGAGCCGTTTTCTGACAGCCCTGGGGCCCGTGGAGGACCCCAGGGAGCCAAAAACTACGAAAAACCTCAGGACCGGATTTTTCTCAGGACCCGCTTCTTCTATTGAACAAGCGCGTTCCACTAATCGCAGACTAACTGCTCGCAAATGGCCTGGATCCGCCGCGGGGATTTTCACGCTCCATCACGTCGAACCAACCATTTGTTGTCGCACGTTTGCGAGTAGGCACCTTGCGGGTAGTGGACCGCGCTCGCCGATCCGTGGCGAAGCGCCGCCGCCCCAGCGGCTGCCCCGGCGGCGCCCTGCCCGCAGGCTCGGGGATCAAGTGATCCGGGTCCACCCAGGACCCGGGTCCGTCGTGCGCTGCAGGGTCCCGCGAGGTCCTGCAGAGGGTCCTGCGGCATCCCGCGGGATCCTGCACCCAAACCCCGAACCCTGCGAGCTCCAGCGCCCTGGCTGCCCCCGTCTGCAGCGACCCCCGCCTCTTGTTGAGCCCCGACAGGCGACCAGCAGCGGGCACCCCCCGGGACGCGGCCTCCCTGCCTCCCTGCCTCCCTGCCTCCCTGCCTCCCTGCCTCCCTGCCTCCTCCTCCTCCTCCTCCTCCTCCTCCTCCTCGTCCTTCTCCCCCCCCTCCCCCTCCTCCTCCTCTTCCTCCTCCTCCTCCTCCTCCTCCTCCTCCTCTTCCTCCTCTTCCTCCCCCTCCTCCTGCCGCGGCGCTCCCCGACAGCGGGGGCCCGCAGGCGGCGGCCGCCGCGCGCCGAGGGGCGCCCGCGCCACTGCCTGGCACACGCGCGCGGGGGGGGCGCTCGGAGGCAGGCAGGGGCGGGCCTGCCGCGGCCCCCGCTGACAGGGAGGAGGAGGAGGAGGAGGAGGAGGAGGAGGAGGAGGAGGAGGAGGAGGAGGGCCACGTCTTGATGACTGCTGGCCGGGAGAGAAAAGAGAGAGAGAGAGAGGGAGGGAGGAGGAGGAGGGGAGGAGGAGGAGAGGAG